CACTGCTACTCGGTCTCCTGTTTCCTGGATCATTTTAAATCTGAAAAATTCTTATTTTGAGCGGATTTGAGTTGTAGGGTTTCAATGGAGAACTGGAATATTAGGAAAGGTCGGACGGAATCTGTTTGGTCACCTAAGAGAAGTTAAGTGAATTTATATCCTGCAAAAATATCAGGTAAGAAAACATTTACTCTATTGTTTTTGTGACATTGTTTGTGTTCGTGTCGTTTATTCCGGATTAAATAATGCTATAGACGGATAAACAAATGTCATTAATTATGTCCCAAATGTGTTGGATTCCTCCAAGTTCGTTCGTTCGTTCGTCGTCTCCCGCTTATGCGGATCTGGGTCGCGGGGGCAGCAGCCTCAGCAGAGAGGTCCAGACAGCCCTCTCCTCAGCCACTTCCACCAGCTCCTCCGGGAGAATCCCGAGGCGTTCCAAGGCCAGCCGAGAGATATAATCCCTCCAGTGTGTCCTCGGTCGGCCCCGAGGCCTCCTCCCGGTGGGACATGCCCGAAACACCTCCCCAGGGAGGCGTCCAGGAGGCATCCTCACCAGATGCCCGAACCACCTCAACTGGCTCCTCTCGACATGGAGGAGCAGCGGCTCTACTCCGAGTCCCTCCCGGATGACCGAGCTCCTCACCCTATCTCTAAGGCTGAGCCCGGCCACCCTGCGGAGGAAACTCATTTCGGCCGCTTGTATTCGCGATCTCGTTCTTTCGGTCATTACCCAAAGCTCATGACCACAGGTGAGGATCGGAACGTAGATCGGCCGGAAAATCGAGAGCTTCGCCTTCCGGCTCAGCTCCCTCTTCCCCACAACGGACCGATTCAGCGTCCGCATCACTGCTGACGCCGCCCCAATCCGCCTGTCGATCTCGATTCCTCCAAGTTATTTGTCAAAATGTTCTATTATTCCACTATTATTTGGTAATCCCTCAAACAAATCATAATATGTTGTAAATTATAACAGAATTTTTTACATGGACCTTATTCTCCAAGATTTGGTACAATGAAATGTGTTTGTTCTAATCCCACAACTGGTCATATCATATCTATAAACTGCTGTTGCTGTTGTGTCTGAACATGTGGAGCTCTACAATAACTGAAGTAAATACTGACCCAGCTGCTCTGTCCATCAGACACTGAACAGATTCATTTATGAAGAGTCTCAGGGACAGTGGAGACAAACTGTGAGAACAGGGCTCCAGTAAAAACAAGTCTGTTAGTGCTGATGACGTGTGTTTTGAGGACGAGTGCTGACAACAAACTAGAACCACAGCTGTTTCTTCCACCAACCAATGTGCACGAAATATGGTCCAATCTCTCCTTCCTAGGTTAGTGTTGAAGTGAAGTGTTTTTGCAGAACATTATGATGTCACAGTG